TTTTGCCGATTCCTAGCAAATCTCGTGTTTCTAAACACCCCTCATTTAAATTTTCGACACAAGTGTCCAAAGCACTCGCGAAAACAGTATTTCCGAAACACACGCGCTCAAAATCCGGATCATCATAAACGAAAAGAACCAGAAAACGATTGGATCACCGGCAACAACGATCAACAAGAAACGGTCGCTTGTGTATATAGAAGTCGTTAAAAACAGCAGACACACACACCGAAGTCCGATAAAAATCTAGTCCCACAACAAGCGAGGGTAAATTTGCCACATCACGGATGATTTATGCGGATCCCGTCTCCCCTCACTTGCACTCCCCATTGTTCTGCGATTGCCATGTCGCGAAAAAATAAAATAAACCCTCAAGGGTTCTTTCACTTTTCCATGCATATAAGCAGTCATTATCAGGATGCTCTCTAGTCCCGGGTCGCAATGACTTATTTAAATATATCGGAATATAAAGTTTGATGATATAAAGAGAAAACTTTTTTGGCTTGGCATCGCAAAAAAAGGTGTGAGCACCAAAAGAAATGGTGCATTTACATGAACAAAAAAATGAATTATAAGAATTAGAGGTGGAATTTATTTTGAAAACAGTGGACCCTCGGTTAACAAATGGCTCAGTTTACCAATTTTTGGTTTTGAGGAAAAATCTTTTGGATAACAAACCAAAATTTGCAAAGAAAATTTTTTCTTAAGGGAAAAGTCCCATTTTCGAAAATTCAAATTTTGAGTTCAAGGCTGCATTTTATTTTAATATCCAAGTGCAAATAATTTACCTATGCACTGATACAAAAATTATTCTCTTCTGGCACTTTAATATGAGTAATCTGTAAATTAAAATTTGTTGAAGCGAAAGGCTTTTCTGTGAAAACATTATTTACTTTTCTTTGCTTTTGTTTGCTATTTCTGACATGTAACCTACAGTATGTGTTTCTTTGGATGTGAGGATTTTTCACCTTTGTTTTCATCAGTTCTACTTTCATATAACACAGTGAAACATTGTGGGTTCTATCAAAGAAGATGTGGCAAAAAATTGTTTTGATTACAGGTGGTACCTTGAAATTCAACCTACCAAAATTTGACCATCCCACAATTTGTTGGTCAAATTTGCAGAGAGTTTGACTTGCAATTAAACCCTTGCCTGTGACAATTTTAACAGCGTTGGCCACTTTTTTGAATTTGTTACTTATATTTTTTAATTTCATGGAGTGTCTTGCAATTTGACCAATTTACAATTTGACCCTAGTTTGGGAATGGATTAGGGTTGAATTGCAAGGTACCACCGGTATGGTAATTGATCTTGAATGTTTTATATTGAATGTTCACCCTTCAATGGCTGAGGGTTCTTTCCCATAGCAGGACAAAGTCAGATTATTTTCATTTGGTCCTGCATTTTCAGTTTTTCAGAGGTCAGGAAAACCCTTCCAGGTAGACTGAGGCAAAGTCAGGATTTATCCAAGAAAAGCCAGTGGCCTGTTTGAGCATGATTTCATTTCCCCGCAAAATTTTTCTGCACCCAGGGAAGAAAATGGAATTTTTCCCAACTTTGCCCTTAACCCCCTGTTATCATTTTATTCTTCACATCTCTGAGGTGCAACAAAATTTTGCAAAAATAGTCCAACTTTACCGCCCAAGGGTTAAATTGTCTTTTGGGTTCACAGAACTTATTAAAGTTCCTCATTGAAGGCTATGTAAGAAACCAAGGCCGCACGCAAGCAAAACTTTGTATTTCCAAACTCTTTGATAAAATTAATCTACTTATTCTGATTACTGAAAGACGTTGCCAAGTGAAAAATTCCAGAGAATTTCTCATTGTGCAATAATAGCTCTTAAGTCTCGAGCTCTTGACTACAATTTTCTGATGCAATTCCACACAGTCTTCCTTTGCAATCTGCCGCAATTGGATGCATTCTGCCTTTTGAACTTTGTTCTCATTCAATTGTTTGCCAATTTTGAATTAACTTTTCAGTTCTTTAGAATCCTCTTGTGCCTTTATTGTTCATTATTCTTCACTCAATTTATTGATCCACGTTTTGAATAAAATACATTTTTAATTGTATGGCTTTTACCAAAAAGTCCTGTGCTGATGTTTTCCCAGTGGATTGTGTGTTTTATTCATCTGAATTGCATTATAATTTTTAATTATTTTTGATCTTTGTGGCTAGGGCGCCACAGGCTATATGCCAGGAAAATCTAATTTGGTCAGCAAACTTTCTGCTTTACAAACTTTTGTCTGGAACCAATGAAGTTTGCTTACTCAGGGTCCACTGTTTTTCATCTTTGCAATTTTCTGAGCCACTGTAGTTATTCATTTTATTATTAAAATTTTCGTTTATGATGACAGGGATGCAGGACTTTGCTTACTTGTCCACTAATGATATGGAAGTGACGTTGGAGCTGGGATGCGACAAGTACCCGCCAGCTGGCGCCCTGGCTGGCGAGTGGGCGGACAACAAGGACGCCTTGGTGAACTTCATCAAAATGGTTGGTACATGTTCTTTATTTATTTTTCTTTCATTTTTGTTCACAACAGAAGGGAACTGAGGTTTTTCAACAGCTGCCTGAAATTTACTCTTGTGTTAGGGATTGCGCCTCTAATAAATAAAATAAAGGATAATATGTCTAGACAAGCGTGATTCTTTATGGCTGTACCTGTGAATGATTGGGTTTCTCGGAATTTGTTTCAAACTCCAATGTTAAACCTATGCTGGGAATGCATGAAAAAACATTATCCAGGGAGGCATTTTTAATTTTGAGCCAAGATTATCTGCAGTACAGTATTATAAAACATATTAGACTTTTTCCTGACTTAGGCTTTATATAGAGTTTATTTTATTTATACTCTTCAGGGGGACAACATTTTGCAAAAATATCCTAAGTTTGTCACACAAGGGTGACAAAGAATTTAATTGAAAACCTCAGTTCCCTTCTGTTATGAATTTAATATTCAAGTTGTGTGTGTAGCAGTCCCAACTCCCAAGCAATACAGTGAGACCCCCACATGCGGACACCTCAACCTGCAGACAATTTGACATGGGGACACTTACTTTATCATAAAAAATTAATAAGAAGGCCCAACATGAGGACACTGACTCAACATGGGGACATTTTGTTATAAAATTGCAAATACATTTCAGGACAAATTACAAGGAACAGATATTTCCAACCCTAAAATAGATATAAGAAAAGTTCTTGGGCATTTCTGTCACCAATTTACCATCCATTCAGCTAATTAAAAAAAATCCCTCCAGCAGAGAGGGACTTCCTTCTCTCTTTTTCACTTGTATATTATTTTTACAGAGAATGCCAACATTTCTATGTGCTGTACAGAGGTATCAGTATTCAATTCCCTAAATGCCCATATTGTGTTGAAATATATTGATTGGAATCCGTGTAAATTGGAAAACAATTTTTATTTTCATGGAATTATTGTGAGTATTTTGCACATAAAACACAAATTAAAAATTATATAATGTAAGTCTAAGGGGAAATGAGACTTGACTTGGGGACATTTCAACTTAGGGACACTCTTGATGCACCAATTACGTCTGCATCTTGCTGTCTCACTGTATTTGGGTTTTATAAGATGGTTATTCATCTTATTGTGGAATTAAAAAAACATAAATTGGTCATGCATTTGTGAAAATTTCAATCCAAACATTTTTGTTGTTGTTGTCCCATATATAATAGGCGCACATGGGGGTGAAAGGAGTTGTCAAGGACGCCAGATCAGGACTCGCTATCAGAGGCGCCCTCATCAAGACCCGAAACGTGACGTCAGTCAACGGAGGAGAAGACGCCTTGGCGTCGGCTGACGGGGCCATCAACCATGACGTAACTTCCGGCAAGCACGGCGACTACTTCCGGCTTCTCACGCCGGGTCAATACGAGCTCACTGCCGTCGCTTCGGGATACATGGCCTTGTCCCAGGTCGCTGACGTGGGACCCGTGGATCCCACGCAACCCGAAGCAACCAAGATGGACTTTTGGCTCACCCCGTCGGAGAATTACCCCAGCGACGACGAACCCATGGACCAGCAGGTACAGCACATGTTTACACTCGGAACCCCAATAATACCCAAATAAGTAATTTTTAGTGATCTACTCCGAAATGGAGATTTGGCTTGCAAAAATTCCGTTTGGCAAAGCGTAATTATCTCTTTTGAGATTCCCACAGCTTGAAAATAGAACAGTTACTCCCCCAAATCGTATATAGCAGACCATAGGATGAATTGTCCTACTCAAAGGCTCTTTCTGAATTGTTCCATAACTTGAAAATTATCTGCTGGGAACATACCATTATTTACTGGAATACCATGCGCACCTTTTTTCTCAAATTTCAAACAAAAAAGGGGTGTGAGTCATAAGCACATACACATTTTCCAAAATTTTTTAGGAATTTATGTGTGCATTATACTTAATCATAATGGAGAAATTTGGAACAAATGTAACAAGAAAACTTTTTTGTACGGAAAGAGTTGAAAATTGGTCAGATTTTTGTTCAATTCATGTCTGAAGTCAATTTTTTGTTATTATTTTCAAAACTTTGTGGTTTCAGATTCACAAAAAATAGGGGTGCGCGTCTTACTTCAGGATACGATTTTAGCAAAATTTCCAACTGAAAAACCCCTGTGTGCACCTTACTCAAGGGCGTGTGGTACTTGAGTAAATACAGTATATTCCTTGAAAAGGGAACTTGCTGAAATCCCCCTTTGATGAAATGTGAAAAATCCACAATCCACGTTTTTTCAAAGGGAGTTGAGTTGAAAACCTCTTCTCAAGGATTTTTTGCAGGAGACTTCATGCATTACAACTGCGTGACACACTTTCTGAAGTTAAATCAAGATGGAAACTCATTTTCAAGAACTTTTTGTCTTGGTTGAACTTGAACTTGTTTGAAAACCCCCTATAGTAGACATAATGTACAATCCACACTTTTTCAGATTGAGTTGAGTTGAAACCCTCTTTTCAGGCACTTTTTCAGCAGACATCATGTATTGCAGCTGCATGACATCACTTTCTGAAGTTAAATCAAGATGAAGACTCATTTTTTAGAAGTTTTTGCCTTACAGCATAACAATAACATGCTGAACACTTTTTCTTTAATTTTCACTCACTAATTGCCTTGTGGTGTGATTTCTGCCATTCTTAGAAAACAAACAATGTCAATTCATTATCCATTTACAGTATTGGTAAGTACTAGCTGTGATGTATGTTCAACTATTTTTTTCAAATTTTCTAATGAATGTAAATTAGGATTGTTTCTGTTCATCTCTGTATATTTAATTTCTTGATATGACCAAATGTGTCAAATGGATGTGTGGAGGAGGCGAGACATTTTTAAAACTTTAAAAAGAGACATCTTGAACCTTACCTTTTTAAAGCCTTGTGGATACTGACAATCATCAAGTTAAGCTTGTGTAATTATCTTGAGAAAATACAGTATTGGAAAATGTGTAATGCCTTGCACCCAACAGGCACCTACACAAATTCTTGTTACATCTTGGTAATCTGTATGTGTACAGTGAGTACATAAGATCCATGTAATAAACATTATTGGATTGTAGAATTTCTTGAAAGCACAAAACTAGAAATAAATGTATAAATATCTGGCCCAGAAGCTGTTGGAAGTTTATGACTAAAACTTACAATGTGTCAATTTTCTTTTTGCCCAGTTGTTTTTCAATCAGGGCAAGAACATTTTTTATCCGATTAATAGTCCGCAAAAGAACCTCATAAACACGTGGTATTGAGATGTAACATTTGTTTACAGTACAGAGTCTATTTCGAACATGATTATATTGAAGAATAGAATGTTCGGCATTTCGGGGATTTGCCTGCGTGAAAGCCTCTGCAAATGTTCCAGGAAAAGAAGATCAGGTACAGGCTTTGAGGGTAAGGCCTGATATATGAGAACTCGGCTAAGAGACTTTCAGGGAGAAGAAAAGCGGATTTCCATTATACTGTATTACATTAAAGCAGTCAGCTAAGAAGCTTTACTTTCTGTTGAACGCGCTGAGAAAAGCATTAGAATCAGACCATACCACTTACTCTATTCCTTTTCAAGTTTCCTATATAGAAAGGTCTTGATTTCATGCACCAAACTTGACCTTTTTGCAGCAGAGGTTTCTCAATTTCAATTTTGAAGAACCAGAGACTTCCTCAACTAAAATTAAGGAAATTTTTCATGTAAATTCTTCAATTCTTCTTTGTTTATTTTGCGTTTGAGATCCACGCCCTGCTACCAGGGTCAGAGGGAATAACTCACCATTAAGTAAATATTTGAGCATTTCAGGACTGAAACAAGATGAGAAAAAAAAAACAATTCTAAAATGAAACTCATATACTCAGCTTGGGACGAGGCAGGAAATTTTAATGGACTATCAGATTTAACCCTCAGAAACCAAAGGGTTCCTGGCCATCATGTGGAGGCAATGTTGGGATTTTTTTTCCCAGGGAGGGGCATGACAGTTTGAGCAAAGGTCACTGAAATGCCTCTAGGTTTCCAAGACCTGAACCTAATTAAGTCAGGAAAATCTGGGTGCAGAAAATCCCTTTGTCTCAGGAAGTCCCAAATCTTAATCTCATGCTGGGAATGCATTAAAACATGCCACCCATCACATATGTTTTTTTGTTTTTGGCAAAATTTTCTAAGGGATTATAAAAAATCTCAGCTTTTTCCAAAAACTTATTAGGCCTTGGTTCAAAAATCAGATATTTTTAATTTGCAAAGCTCATAGGAAAATGTTTCACAAAAATATCCAAAATTTGCCCCTCAAAAAGGGTCAAAGGCTAGTGATGCAGTTCTTTGTCCCAACAAAATGAACAAAGCAGAGATGATAAGCTAAGATGATGAAATTCAAAAACTCAGCATAATTCTTGAATGAATGAATGAATGAATGAACAGAAAACTTTTTTTGCCGCTTTTCAGCGTTCACGAAGCACAACCAAGACTCCTGCATCCAAACCCCCTCCCCACCCAACCCAACTCCCCCCAAAGACATTCAATCACTTCAAAGCATGAAACAAAGCACAAACCAATGACAAAAACAAAAGAGAACACATAATTCTTTGTTATTCAAACAGAAACTTCTCCATAAAGGCTCTCAAAAAATGCTGATGGTAGTTTTGAAGAAAGAATGGCACAGTTATTGTTTCTTTTGTGACTTCCAGATTTTGATACTGCTTTCAGTAGTGGTGCATTTTTATGGTCCTTGGATTTGCCATTTTGTTGAAATCAAAGATGTTGTAGCATCTGACTGAGTTAGCTCTGTGAAATATACACATCTGGAGGGTTTCTTGATTTTAGGGTACTTTCATTGCAATTGTTTCTGCTTGATTTTATTTCCTTGATTGGCAAGTAGTTTGGCACAGTTCCCCAACATTTTGTGAAGGTGCAGAACACATTATATTTTGAACTTTAGAACACATTTCATGAGTGAGCATAGGAAATTTTAGAAGTGCTGGTCACTTCTTTATCTGGAGCCATTGAAAATAATTCCAAGGTTGATAAAGAATATATAAGCATGTGCTCCAATGCCAATTAATTTTGTGGATATTACTTTGGTTATTACTTCCTTGAAATATGAGCAAGAAAATTAATGAAACAAATGATTTTATGCATCATTTATTTTATTTTAAAGGAAGTGAAAGACTAGTTAAAAAATGAACCCCTGCATCCAAGTTCAGCAAGCCATGAACTTATTAAGAAGCAAGTTTAGGCCCAAAATTTCCTCATTTACAATTTCCTTCAATTTTTTTTACCTTATCCTTACAGCAAAAATGATTTGTTTCCTTCACTCAAGACATCCAAAAATTGTAACCTTGGTAAATCAAATCCTCCCTGAGTCAATTTTTTTCCAGGTCTCTGAAAATTTGACTTGGAGAGGCTAAACTGTAATTGAAAGAAATCCCTTGAGCTGCCTTTTGATTGTAGTGAATGAAGGTTTATTTCATTTTGTTCAACAGATGAACTAATTATTCTCAATTTCTCAACAGATGGTGGATGATAATCAAGAAGCAGAGGCACTGGAGCCCGAAGAAAGACTCATAAAAAGATACAGGGATTTCCTGATGAAGCGGGCAAAAATTCCCAACTGGCTGAATCCCCGTTATTAACAACTTTCACAGCACGGATGAACACTTGCCCAGGAATCATCTGACCAAAATGGACAGTTCGGGAAAAGAGTTCAAATGTTGACGGAAATCGATCAGCTTTTTCCTGGCGAAAAAAAACACAGTACCCTGGAAATAAGTTACCAAAATCGAGGTAGTTATGTGTGCGACCTAAAAATTACCAAAATCGAGGTAGTTATGTGTGCGAGATAAAGTCATCAAATATTATCCTTGTGTTGGAAATCCCGTGTTTTATTTTTTTTTCGAATTTTAAAAGCATCGTGAACTCTTCTTATTTTTGCTCTGAAAATTTTTCCTCTCGAATGAGCGGTTTTAATAGGATTTTTTCCCTTGATTTCTTGTTGAAATCTATTGCACAAGAAAAAAAAATGCAAGAGTTAGATTATTGGAATTTAATTCGAATTATTAAAGGTTCTTTCTCTAGTTTTGATAAGCAAAAATTTAAATATCTGTGCAGCAAGGAATGACCTTTAGTGCATGAGTTGCATTATTATAAAAACGGCGTAGAAACTTTGCAAATAAACGCATTGAAATTATAAAGAATTTGCCGTCTGCACTGATTCCCCGATATTTTTGCTGGATTGAAAAGCAACCTCTGTTTTCTGTTGACCCACGAGTTCAATAGTTGGAAGTCGAACTATTTTTAATCTAAAATAACCTGAACATTTTCTTAATATCTACTGAACAGAAACTCACTGTTTCTGATTGCGAAATATCGCTTTCTTTTCTTCAAAGCACCATTATAGAGTCTGAAACTCCGATTCAGATATTTTTTTCGATCTCGCGGTTAATAATTCAACTATTACTGGTCAAAGGAAGAACCGTGGTTTTCGGAAAATTCGGAAATTTGCGCCGATTCTTGTGCGGTACTCTTCCTTGGAGGTTTATACGGCATCCATAAATAAAGATTTCATTTCTGCATGTGCTGAAGGGAAACTGAGAATATGTCGAAGAAGATAAGTAAATGGAAAATTACCGGAACCAATGCATTTCTTATTGATTGCAAAAAAAAACGCTCCTGGAACTATCAACTACTGAAGAGTTACAGGACGTACGAAAGGAACACATGGAACATGGAACGTTAGCGACATCTATATGAATTTGATAAAAACGTGCTGTTACATAGTGAGAGCATCTCTCTGTTGGTGGTGCTCAAACGACGCGTTTGTGATGTGTCATTCATGCGATCATGCGATGGTCAGTTCATTCCGTTCAAAGCATGCGATTCTGAATATACATGCGAACGCGTATATTCGAATTGAACTTGTTGATAAAGGTGAGACTTTTCATTACCCATTGGAATACTCAAGTTTGAATCATCGATTGATTTAGTCGTAGTTCTACTCATAAAAGGAAACCCTGTTGAGGAGCATTCCTTCTACCGTACATCACCTGTGTCGGGGGAAAGAGAAAGAGGGGATCAACAGCTGCAAACAAAGGTTCGAGAACGTCCTCGACTCCTCGTTTTTACTGATGTATCCTTCAGAAGGATAACAACTTTTATGGCAGCGCTTTTTTGCGCCAAGTAATTTAAGCTGCATATGTTTGCAAAACGTCAAACTTCACGAAAGAATTATTGCTCTTCTAGAGAAATTTACCATTTCCTTCGGGAGGAAAACGATTTCTCTCTGGCCTGAGAAGATTGGTAGATCAGATTTCTCACATTCCTCTTTGAAGGAAGAACACTAAAACCGTTGCAAAGGACCCAAGTCCTTGCCAAATTTAATACGCTCAAAGCGTTCTTTCGAAAAAGCCAAAACAGACGGCTAAATCCGTCAAAAAGCACCAACTCAAACAAAGAGTTTGACCTCGACGGCGTGCTCGGTCGCCGCCGAGGTCTGCAATTCATTAAGAAGTTGAGGCCCATTGATTGGGCCACGCCAAATTCAGCGGAAGATGACCATTCACTAGACCCCCTAATTGGACACCTCCCTCAAGAAGCGGAACCCTCCGTTCCCCCCGTTTTCCGGAAGCTTGAAACTTTAAAAGGACCAAGAATTCTACAACAAAGACTACTACTCATCCAACCCCTTCTTGACGTGGAACTCGAGAATGAACTTTGCCAACCTAGAAATCCAAAAGTTGAAGAAGAAATCGAAAGTTGTACATTTTGTAAAGAAAGAACTGTCTTCAAACAAACATAAAGAAGTTGAAATCTGGGTGTAAAAACCCCGGCCGCAACCCGGCTGATCGTGTGTTCTTGTTTTATTTCTTTTCCATAAACTCTTACTTTTCATCCCTCAATTTTACCACAACCTGGCCCTTAAGCCGATGATCGGGCAGTTTCAACAATATATGAAGACTGGGAAACTTTGAAAGACAGATGACGCTCCTTTGCTGCGCAAAACACTGGTTCTTTGCTTGGTCCTCCGAAAGTCTGTGGCGAACAATGAAATACTATTTTTGGAAAACTTGACAATCCCTCCCGAATCCAAACATGATGTTTGAAAAATAATATTGGAGTCATGGCAAATTTGCACGAGTCTGTTTTGATAATTCTTGTCAATTTGGAAATCTGTATGCTTGATATATACATTCAAGTAGAATTTATAAACTCGCAGTTTGATGATGATGACATAAATGCTGAATACAGTTGCCCCCATACAACAAACCTCCAATGCAATGGATTTTCGCACAACAGACAGCCTCTGGAGGCGATTTTCCCCTCCCACACAATGGACTAAATCCACTTAACAGACTCCTGTTGGTTTAAAATTAAAGGTGAGAGGTAAAAATTTCATTTTCTTAATAATTGAAATTGCGTAACAGACTTTTCACAGAAAAAAACTAGTCTGTTGCACAAATCAGGTCAGTATGTGGGGGGATTGACTGTAATTCTAATCTCTAGATCCCTCACTTTCTCAAAAAAAAAAAAGTCTTCAACATTCCTTCCACATGCCTCAAATTTGTGCGAAACACATGGTAATTTTGCTGCTTGGTTTTCAAGAAAACCATAATCTTCGGGAGGTGCTCCCAGGTTTTCTTTTTCCTTCCCACAAGACTGAAAAAATTGTTTTCCAGGAAAACATAATCATAAATGGCATCTGGAGGCCAGAAAACCAACGTGCACTTATATAGAAGGGCGACAAGTAGAGCGATCCACAGACAAGGACAGAATAAATCGACGTTAACAATCTTTCAACCATTGTTCCATCTTTTCCTCTGTATCCTCTGTCTGTGATGCGGCATCCATGGTTACCAAAGTGAAATTAAAAGTGATCATGATGTAAAAATGAAATACGCTCAGGCTATTGCACTGCACATTTTTCAAATAATTTATTTTTATTCGGAAATGTCCAAGCTAATGTTCCATGCAGAGGTGGTGCCCAGCAAGTAGACCCCAATCCATTGCTGGACCTACAGGGTCCAATTGCAAAGCAATGTAAAATGCAATGTTTTCTACATAGTACAGTTGAACCTCTGAAAGTTGAATTTCTAGGGACCCAAAAAATTTGACTTAGGGAGGTTAACATTTTTTGATATTTGGTGGAAAGGAAACAAATATTTTTGCTCCACAGAAAATGGGAAATTGTAGATGGGGATATTCTGGGCCTAAACTTGCTTCTTAATGAGTTTAAAGCTTGCTGAACTTGTATAAGCAGGGGTTCATTTGTTCAATTAGTCCTTCACTTTATTTCAAAATGCATAAAATAATTTATTTTGTTTATTTTTTCTTTCATATTTCAAGGATATAATAAACAAAAGGCATTGGAAAATTTGAGTTACAAATGTTTGAGAGAAAACTATTTTGAGTTAGGGAGGATTTTATTACATGTACATTGTTTCTATGGGAATCCAAGACAGAGACATTTAAACAATTTGAGCGATAGGGAGGTACAATATTTGACTTAGGGAGGTTCAACTTAGCAAGGTTCACCTGTATTTCATGTGTTTGCTCATCTCTGTGGGTCAAATTGCATCAGGGTCTGGGTCAAATTGTGAGTTGACCTCCCAGAAAATGTTACCATTGAATTGCAGAACAGTTCAATTGCCGGAGGTTGAAATGCAAGGTACCAACCTGTTTTTCAAAAATTCCTTGTTCTATTCTAAATGCTGACCCTTGGGTGACAAAAGCCTTCTTTCCATCCCACAGCAAAGTCTAGTTTTATTTTTTATGCTGTGGTATTTCATTTTGACCCCAGTCCACTGAAATGGGCCTGGGTTGACTTGAAAGGCCCAAGTTTATAAAAATCTGTGAAGGGGTGGATTGTTAAAAAATGCCACCCAGTGAGGATATCTTCTATTGTTGAGGCATAATTTTCTGCAGGATTATAAAAAAATATTGGACTTTTTCCCAACTTAGGCCTGGGTAAACAAAACTGAAAATTTTATATTTGCAGTACATGCTTATGTACACAATGTTCCTCAAAAACATCCCAAATTTATTGCTGAACAAGGGTTGAGGGATACCTGAGTTTAAAAAGGGGAGATGTCCTATTTTTGGCTGGAGGTTTTAAAGCACAACAACTTGAGGACCAAAAGATCATTAATATTTTCTTCCTGGAATATGCGCAAAATGAATCCCCAAAAATTCCAATGTCTGTTTCTCCACTTAAAACCCCAGAGACCAAATTATTTGTCCCCTCTGTTTGAATTGAAGAATCTCATTAATTTTAGCAAATTTTGTGCTATAAGCCCATCTTTTTTTTCTGGTGTCCCTGTGGGTTTGTTATTGTAACGTGATTTTGCTGTACTTGAAACAGTGAAAGAATGTTGGGGAAATAAAGATTCGAAAAGCTCACATCAAAAATGCAGGTTGGTATGAATGGGTCCAATTGTCCTCACTATACCTCAACAAGTTTGATGCAGTCAGCAACGCGACTTCGAGCTGTCATTGTCGAGAACTGCTGGCTTCGGATTACACAGCTATGTTCTTCTAGTTTTATTTTTTTATTTCTTCTTCTTCAATAATTGGGAGTGAATCTGGTTTACCTGAGTTTCGTGCTTCAATTTTGTTTTTCTTGCCGGTGAATTTTTTTTCCAAGGTGAGGGGAAACTTTTTCTGTGCTTTGAAATCGAAAAAGTTTGTGAAGAGTTGGAGAACCGTGTGCAGGATTTTAAAACAATTATTAACACTTTATCTTTTTTGAATAATAAACGGGATAATCAGAGTTCATTTTTATGTTTCATGCATATGCTCAAACCTAAACTGTGGTATGCGAAGCTTGTAAAATGCAAAAAAAGTTTGTAGAGGGAATGGCCAGTCGTTCACACGAATGAAAACAAAAATTGCATTTGCCTTCGACGTTTCCACGGAATGTTTCTGACGCGGTTGATATGAATATTTCAGGTACACTGTTGCATATTTGAAAATTAAATTCGCATTTTTAAAATAGAAAATATAGCTTAAAACTCACAATGCAACGTATATTTTGTGGTGTGGGTTATATTGGATGGTGTTTTAGAATTGATGATTTTTCAAGCATCATTGCCTCTTTTAACAAAACTGGATATTTGATAACTGAATGTAATTTTGCAATTTTTAGAGCAATGGAGCATGACAAGCTGAAGACCTTGGGCTCTATATCAATTTTTACTGATACAGTATTTTGTTTTCAATGTCAGGGATGGAATGGGTGTATGCATAGATACATGTCAGATGTCCAGTTGTATTTTGTGGATTGCATTTTCTTTTATTTTTGTTATCCACTTGTGCTCTGTTTCCTGCTCTGAAGTGATTAAATGTCTTTGAGTGGATTTGGGTTGGGTGGGGACAGGGTTTGGATGTGGAAATCTTGATTGAACCTTGTGAATGCTGAAAAGTGGCAAATGAAGTGTTCTGTTCATTCATTCATTCATTCATTCATGGGACATGATTTGAATGCGTGATTTATACTGTATTCTTTGAAAAGATGATCCAGCAATTTTTGTAAAAACAAACCAAGTACAGCTTTATCCACACTGATGGTACCATGATTCTGATGTTTGGAAATGATACTGATGGAAGCAATTGCAATCAAGGCGATTTATATATTTCCTGCGTGA